AGAAACCCGGGAACCCCAAAAAGTGGGTGCTGGGGAGTGGGCACAGAGGGGATTGGGGGTCACAGGGTGCCCAGGTGTGACCCAGGGTGCCCAGGTGTGACCCAGGGTGCCCAGGTGGGGAAGGCCTGGCCTCCGAGGACGGCACCCTCAAGCTCTGGAACCTCCAGAAACCCGGGAACCCCAAAAAGTGGGTGCCCAAAACATGGGTGGGAGGGGTCACAGGGTGCCCAGGTGTGACCCAGGGTGCCCAGGTGTGACCCAGGGTGCCCAGGTGGGGAAGGCCTGGCCTCCGAGGATGGAACCCTCAAGCTCTGGAACCTCCAGAAACCTGGAAACCCCAAAAAGTGGGTGCCCAAAAAGTGGGTGGGAGGGTCACAGGTAGCCAGGTGTGTCCCCAGGGTGCCCAGGTGTGTCCCCAGGGTGGCCAGGTGGGGAAGGCCTGGCCTCCGAGGACGGCACCCTCAAGCTCTGGAACCTCCAGAAACCCAGAAACCCCAAAAAGTGGGTGCCCAAAAAAGTGGGTGGGGTGGTCACAGGGTGCCCAGGTAGCCGGGTGTGACCCAGGGTGCCCAGGTGTGTCCTCAGGTGTAACCCAGGTGGGGAAGGCCTGGCCTCCGAGGACGGCACCCTCAAGCTCTGGAACCTCCAGAAACCCGGGAACCCCAAAAAGTGGGTACCCAAAACGTGGGTGGGAGGGTCACAGGGTGCCCAGGTGTGTCCCCAGGGTGCCCAGGTGTGTCCCTGGGGTACCCAGATGTGTCCCCAGATGCCCAGGTGTATCCCAGGTGCCCAAGTATGTCTCCACATGCCCAGGTGTGTCCCCAGGTGTATCCCAGGTGCCCAGGTGTGTCCCCACCTGCCCAGGTGCCCCCTCAGGTGCCCCCCCAGCCGCCCAGGTGTGTCCCCAGGTGTATCCCAGGTGCCCAGCTGTGTCCCCAGATGCCCAGGTGTGTCCCCAGGTGTGTCCCCAGATGCCCAGGTGCCCCCCCAGGTGTGTCCCCAGGGTGCCCACGTGTATCCCCAGGTGTGTCCCCAGGGTGCCCACGTGTATCCCAGGTGTGTCCCCAGGGTGCCCACGTGTATCCCAGGTGCCCAGGTGTGTCCCCAGATGCCCAGGTGCCCCCCCAGGTGCCCCCCCAGCCGCCCAGGTGTGTCACCCCCCCTCTCCTTGTCTCTCCCTCCCTGGCAGGAACGCGGCGCTGGACGTGGAGCCGGTTTACGCCTTCCGGGGACACAGGTGGGGGCACCCACAGGTGACCCGGGGGGGTTTGGGGTGTCCCTGGGGGGCACTGTCACCGTTGTCACCGTTGTCACCGTGTCCCCAACCCCTCAGGGGCCCCGTGCTGGCTGTGACCGCGGGCTGGGCTGCCCAAAAAGTGGGTGGGGGGTCACAGGGTGTCCCCAGGTACCCAGGTGTGTCCCCAGGTGTGTCCCAGATGTGTCCCCAGATGCCCAGGGGTGTCCCCAGGGCGCCCAGATGCATCCCCAGGTGTGTCTCCAGATGCCAAGGTGTGTCCCCAGGGTGCCCAGGTGTGCCCCCAGGTACCCAGGTGTGTCCCCAGGTGTGCTCCAGGGTGCCAAGGTGTATCCCCAGGGTGCCCAGGTGTGCCCCCAGATGCCCAGGTGTGTCCCCAGGTGTGCTCCAGGGTGCCAAGGTGTATCCCCAGGGTGCCCAGGTGTGTCCCCAGGGTGCCCAGGTGTGCCCCCAGGTACCCAGGTGTGTCCCCAGATGTATCCCCAGGGTGTCCAAGTGTGTCCTCAGGTACCCAGGTGTGTCCCCAGGGTGCCCAGGTGTGTCCCCAGGGTGTCCAGGTGTGTCCCCAGGGTACCCAGGTGTGTCCCCAGGTGTGTCCCCAGGGTACCCAGGTGTGCCCCCAGGTACCCAGGTGTGTCCCCAGATGTATCCCCAGGTTCCCAGGTGTGTCCCCAGGGTGCCCAGGTGTGTCCCCAGATGCCCAGGTGTGCCCCCAGGTACCCAGGTGTATCCCCAGATGCCCGGGTGTGCCCCCAGGTACCCAGGTGTGTCCCCAGGGTGCCCAGGTGTGTCCCCAGGGTGCCCAGGTGTGTCCCCAGATACCCAGGTGTGTCCCCAGGTGTGTCCCAGGGTACCCAGGTGTGCCCAGGGGTGTCTGGGGTGTCCTTGGGGGTCACTGTCACCGTTGTCACCGTGTCCCCAACCCCTCAGGGGCCCGGTGCTGGCCGTGGCCATGGGCTGTGACCACGGACTGGGCTGCAGTGGTGGCCTGGGGGGATTTGGGGTGGCCTGGGGGGGTTTGGATTGGGGTGGCCTGGGTGGATTTTGGGTGGCCTGGGGGGATTCCGGGTGGCCTTGGAGTGGATTTGGGTTTGGTGACCTGGGGGGATTTGGGTGTTCCTTGGGGTCACTGTCACCTTGCTCACCCCTCAGGCGGACCGGTGTTGGCAGAGTGGCCATGGGGCTTGTGACGGGGGATTGCTGCAGTGGTGGCCTGGGGGATTTGGGTTCGCCTGGGGGGGATTTGGGGTGACTGGGGGGATTTGGGGTGGCCTTGGGATCAATGTCCCCCTTGTCACCCCTCAGGGGCACGGTGCTGGCCGTGGCCATGGGCTGTGACCGGGGGCTGTGCTGCAGTGGTGGCCTGGGGGGATTTGGGGTCGCCTGGGGGGGATTTGGGGTGACCTGGGGGGATTTGGGGTGGCCTGGGGGTCACTGTCACCCTTGTCACCCCTCAGGGGCCCGGTGCTGGCCGTGGCCATGGGCTGTGACCGGGGGCTGTGCTGCAGTGGTGGCCTGGGGGGGGGATTTGGGGTGGCCTGGGGGGGATTTGGGGTGGCCTGGGGGAATTTGGTGTGGCCTGGGGGGGATTTGGGGTATCCTTGGGGTCACTGTCACCATTGTCACCGTGTCCCCAACCCCTCAGGGGCCCGGTGCTGGCCGTGGCCGTGGGCTGTGACCACGGACTGGGCTGCAGTGGTGGCCTGGGGGGATTTGGGGTGGCCTGCCCCTGGGGGGAAATGTCCTTGGGGTGCTGCCATGGGCCCGGTGCCGTGGCCACTCCGACCTGATGGACCCCTACGACGGCTACGGTGGGTGACACCTAAAATCCCCCTAAATCCTCCCAAATCCCTCCTAAACCTCCCGAAACCCCCCCTAAACCTCCGTATACCCCCTAAACCCCCCCCAAAATCCCCCCTAAACTCTCCCAAATCCTCCCCAAATGCCCAAAATCCCTTTAAACCCCCCCCCCCCCAAAATCCCCTCCAAGTTCCCCCCCGAACCTCCTCTGAACCCTCCCAAAAATCCTCCAAATCTACCCAAAAACCACCCAAAACCCACCCAGAAATTCCCCAACCCCTCCAAAAATCGTGGGGGACACGGGGGGACAAAGGGGACACACCCGGTGGTCCCTGGTGCCAGGTGGTGGGGGGGGGGACACGGGGAGGGGACACCCGGTCTTGGGGGGGGGACATGGGGACAATGGGATGAGGGCAGGGGGGTCCCCAGGCCACGGTGTCACACAAGGGTGACCTGAGGGGGGACATGGGGACAATGGGGACATGGGGACAATGGGATGAGGGCAGTGGGGTCCCCAGGCCACGGTGTCACACAAGGGTGGCCTGAGGGGACATGGGGACAATGGGATGACACCAGTGGGGTCCCCAAGTCACGGTGTCACACAAGGGTGGCCTGAGGGGACATGGGGACACCGGGATGACACCAGTGGGGTCCCCAGGTCACGGTGTCACAGGGGACACGGGGACAAGGCCTGTGGGGTCCAAACCTGGTGGTCCCTGGTCCCAAGGGTGGCCTGAGGGGACATGGGGACAATGGGGACATGGGGACAATGGGATGACGCCGGTGGGGTCCCCAGGCCACAGTGTCACACAAGGGTGGCCTGAGAGGGGACATGGGGACACTGGGATGGTGCCAGGGGGGTCCCCAGGCCACGGTGTCACAGGGGACACGGGGAGGGGACCCCTGATGGTCCCTGGTCCCAAGGGTGGCCTGAGGGGACATGGGGACATGGGGATGATGCCAGTGGGGTCCCCAGGCCACGGTGTCACACAAGGGTGGCCTGAGGGGGGACATGGGGACAATGGGATGACACCAGTGGGGTCCCCAAGTCACGGTGTCACACAAGAGTGGCCTGAGAGGGGACATGGGGACAATGGGATGACACCAGTGGGGTCCCCAAGTCACGGTGTCACAGGGGACACGGGGACAAGGCCTGTGGGGTCCACACCTGATGGGCCCTGGTCCCAAGGGTGGCCTGAGAGGGGACATGGGGACAATGGGGACATGGGGACAATGGGGACATGGGGACAATGGGATGACACCAGTGGGGTCCCCAGGCCACGGTGTCACAGGGGACACGGGGGGGACACGGGGGACACACCCGGTGGTCCCCGGTGCCAGGTGGTGGTGGGGACACGGGGAGGGGACCCCAATGGTCCCTGGTCCCAAAGGTGGCCTGAGGGGGGACATGGGGACACTGGGATGACACCAGTGGGGTCCCCAGGCCACGGTGTCACACAAGAGTGGCCTGAGGGGACATGGGGACAATGGGGACATGGGGACACCAGGATGACACCAGTGGGGTCCCCAGGTCACAGTGTCACACAAGGGTGGCCTGAGGGGACATGGGGACACTGGGATGACACCAGTGGGGTCCCCAGGCCACGGTGTCACAGGGGACACGGGGGGACACGGGGGACACACCCGGTGGTCCCCGGTGCCAGGTGGTGGGGGGGACATGGGCAGGGGACACCTGATGGTCCCTGGTCCCAAAGGTGGCCTGAGGGGACATGGGGACAATGGGATGAGACCAGTGGGGTCCCCAGGCCACGGTGTCACACAAGGGTGGCCTGAGGGGGGACATGGGGACAATGGGGACATGGGGACACCGGGATGACACCAGTGGGGTCCCCAGGCCACGGTGTCACACAAGGGTGGCCTGAGGGGACATGGGGACACCGGGATGACACCAGTGGGGTCCCCAAGTCACAGTGTCACACAAGGGTGGCCTGAGGGGACATGGGGACAATGGGATGACACCAGTGGGGTCCCCAGGCCACGGTGTCAGAGGGGACACGGGGACAAGGCCTGTGGGGTCCACACCTGGTGGTCCCTGGTCCCAAGGGTGGCCTGAGGGGACATGGGGACAATGGGATGAGGCCAGGGGGGTCCCCACCCCACAGTGTCACAGGGGACACGGGGACAAGGCCTGTGGGGTCCACACCTGATGGGCCCTGGTCCCAAGGGTGGCCTGAGAGGGGACATGGGGACACCAGGATGACGCCGGTGGGGTCCCCAGGCCACGGTGTCACACAAGGGTGGCCTGAGGGGGGACATGGGGACAATGGGATGAGACCAGTGGGGTCCCCAGGCCACGGTGTCACAGGGGACACGGGGGGACACAGGGGACACACCTGGTGGTCCCCAGTGCCAGGTGGTGGGGGGGACATGGGGAGGGGACACCTGATGGTCCCTGGTCCCAAGGGTGGCCTGAGGGGACGTGGGGACAATGGGATGACACCAGTGGGGTCCCCAGGCCACGGTGTCACACAAGGGTGGCCTGAGGGGGGACATGGGGACACCGGAATGACACCAGTGGGGTCCCCAGGTCACGGTGTCACAGGGGACACGGGGACAAGGCCTGTGGGGTCCACACCTGATGGGCCCTGGTCCCAAGGGTGGCCTGAGGGGACATGGGGGCAATGGGGACATGGGGACAATGGGATGAGGCCGGTGGGGTCCCCAGGTCACGGTGTCACACAAGGGTGGCCTGAGGGGACATGGGGACACGGGGATGACACCAGTGGGGTCCCCAGGCCACGGTGTCACAGGGGACACGGGGAGGGGACCCCTGATGGTCCCTGGTCCCAAGGGTGGCCTGGGGGGACATGGGGACATGGGGATGACACCAGTGGGGTCCCCACCCCACGGTGTCACACAAGGGTGGCCTGAGGGGACATGGGGACACTGGGATGACACCAGTGGGGTCCCCAGGCCGCGGTGTCACACAAGGGTGGCCTGAGGGGACATGGGGACAATGGGATGACACCAGTGGGGTCCCCAGGTCACGGTGTCACACAAGGGTGGCCTGAGGGGACATGGGGACAATGGGATGAGGCCAGTGGGGTCCCCAGGTCACGGTGTCACACAAGGGTGGCCTGAGAGGGGACATGGGGACAATGGGATGACACCAGTGGGGTCCCCAGGCCACGGTGTCACAGGGGACACGGGGAGGGGACCCCTGATGGTCCCTGGTCCCAAAGGTGGCCTGAGGGGACATGGGGACAATGGGATGAGACCAGTGGGGTCCCCAGGCCACAGTGTCACAGGGGACACGGGGGGACACGGGGGACACACCCGGTGGTCCCCGGTGCCAGGTGGTGGGGGGGACATGGGCAGGGGACACCTGATGGTCCCTGGTCCCAAAGGTGGCCTGAGGGGGGACATGGGGACACGAGGACGTGGGGACACGACCAGTGGGGTCTGTGTCCCCCCTTGGTGACTGTCCCCATGTCCCCAGACCCCGGGGTGCTCTGTGGGGTCCTGGAAGGTCACAGGGACGCCGTGTGGGGTCTGTGTCCCCTTGGTGACCCCGGGGTGCTCTGTGGGGTCCTGGAAGGTCACAGGGACATTGTGTGGGGTCTGTGTCCCCATAGTGACCCCGGGGTGCTCTGTGGGGTCCTGGAAGGTCACGGGGACACCATGTGGGGTCCATGTCCCCCCTTGGTGACCCCAGGGTGCTCTGTGGGGTCCTGGAAGGTCACAGGGACCTTGTGTGGGGTCTGCATCCCCCCTTGGTGACTGTCCCCATGTCCCCAGACCCAGGGGTGCTCTGTGGGGTCCTGGAAGGTCACGGGGACACTGTGTGGGGTCTGTGTCCCCTTGGTGACCCCGGGGTGCTCTGTGGGGTCCTGGAAGGTCACAGGGACGCCGTGTGGGGTCTGTGTCCCCCCTTGGTGACCCCGGGGGTGCTCTGTGGGGTCCTGGAAGGTCACAGGGATTCTGTGTGGGGTCTCTGTCCCCATAGTGACCCCGGGGTGCTCTGTGGGGTCCTGGAAGGTCACAGGGACCTTGTGTGGGGTCTGTGTCCCCTTGGTGACTGACCCCGTGTCCCCTTGGTGACCCCGGGGTGCTCTGTGGGGTCCTGGAAGGTCACGGGGACGCCGTGTGGGGTCTGTGTCCCCCCTTGGTGACTGTCCCCATGTCCCCAGACCCGGGGGTGCTCTGTGGGGTCCTGGAAGGTCACGGGGACGCCGTGTGGGGTCTGTGTCCCCCCTTGGTGACTGTCCCCATGTCCCCAGACCCGGGGGTGCTCTGTGGGGTCCTGGAAGGTCACGGGGACGCCGTGTGGGGTCTGTGTCCCCCCTTGGTGACTGTCCCCGTGTCCCCAGACCCCGGGGTGCTCTGTGGGGTCCTGGAAGGTCACAGGGACCTTGTGTGGGGTCTGTGTCCCCTTGGTGACCCCGGGGTGCTCTGTGGGGTCCTGGAAGGTCACAGGGACCTTGTGTGGGGTCTGTGTCCCCCCTTGGTGACTGTCCCCATGTCCCCAGACCCCGGGGTGCTCTGTGGGGTCCTGGAAGGTCACGGGGACGCCGTGTGGGGTCTGTGTCTCCCCTTGGTGACCCCGGG